CCCGGCCCCAGCCGGGCCCCGCGCCCCGCGCCCCGCGCCGCCTCCCTCACCATTCCGGTTGCTACTGTCACCCAGGCGGTTGCTAGGGCACGCTCGGCTTCTGCGCATGCTCCATCAGCGCCGGTGCAGACTGCGGCCGCAGCACCTGGGGAGCATCGAGGTGCGCGGCCAACTAGAGTGCCCTGCCGGAAACCACGTGAGCGGAAATACCCCCCCTTCTTTCCCCGTGCGCCGGGCTAGCTGTAGCCCTCTCGCTCTCGATAGTTGCTGGGCGGTGGCAGGTCGCGTGTGACGTCACAGGGCAGCCCCCTCCGCCCGGATTCGCTGTGGCGGGGCTTCTTAGCCAGGCGCAGGGGGGGTATCAAGGTTGGCCCTGCTTGGCTGATCCCGGCCCTTCTGCAAGGAGGGAAGCCCTGGAATAGGTGCATTGGGTTTTGCACCTCTCACAGAAGTGTGTGGGGTGCTGCATCTGCTGCCATAAGGAACCCTGAGTCCGGAGAGGTGGAGGAGCACTGCCCTTTGTGGGGCAGCCCCTCTGGCAATGGTTTCCCAAGGATGCCAGGAGAAGCTTTGGGGGTCCCCTCCTAGTAGTTGTTCTCAACCTTTTTGGAGTCAGGCCCTGCCTCCATAACTGTCTGCAATGTAGTGGGGCCTGGTTGAGAATCACTGTTGTAGGGCCTCAGGAGCTCCTTATTCCAGCTGTGCCAACTTTTTTACTGTGTGGGCCAGATGGGCAGTGTTATGTCTGTCCCCAAGCCAGGTTGGGCTGCTGGGCTTCTTCCCACACGTGGTGCTGTTGTGGCAGGGCCCCAATCTGGCCATGGAGGGTTATGCACAGCCTAATCCTGATCTGTCTGACTGGGGGGGGGGCAGGGGCTAAGGTGGGGCTGGATCCTGCTGCACGGAGCTTCTACCACTCCCCTGTTGCTAGATTTTCCAACCCATGAGGATCCAGATGCCATGGCTCCATAGGCTGGATTTGGCCTGTGGGCCTGTTAAATTATGAAATGAGATTCAGGACTAGCGTATAAAGGATTGACACGACAACTCATTCGATAAATGACAGAAAAGCTTTATTTACTACAACTATTCACTGTTAAATGAGCCTAAATCAAAGCAAAGTCCAGTATGTTTAACTGTAAAAGTGATAGTATCTCACCAATAAAGGCAAAAAGGCAGTCACAGTCTCGTCAGCTTCTCAAGATGTGCATCTGTTCACCAGAAGATCAGCTGGGTCCATAGCTGTTCTTGTCAGAATGATTTCACATTCTTAAAGTGCACCCTGTTAACTGCTTCATTCCTCCTTTACACCCTTTAGCCCAACATCTTCAAAGCATTCTTGTAGCTGTGTAAATCAAGAGAGAAACACAAGCAACAATTAACAGGAAAATCCTGTTAATTAAACTGTTCATTACTGGTTATCAGAAAGTCCCAATTTTCATTGAATTACCTTCCTCAGTAACAGGATGTTATCAATTTGTACTGAGTTGGAATATATCAAGAAAGTGCTTAACAGCTAGGAAAAACACAAAGTTTTTTAGGAGTTGTCCTTGGAAGATCAAGGGAACTACTGAGGCAAAACAAAAGTAAATTGGAAGGAAACACCTATCAAAACCGTATGGAGAATGTTTCTTCCTGCACATAAACACAAGTTAATTGGAAAGAACTATTTGCTATACTAAATAATCGAGGATAGACATTTTACATAGGTACATACCAAACACACAGGAGCCTGCCTAAAATCATCATAGTATAGTAAGATACACTGTAAGTGATGCCTTATTATTTCTTTTCAGAAGGTCCAACTGCAAACATACAACTTCTTGTACTATGCAATTGTCATCAATATTTTGTAGTTTAACTTTTGTGAGTAGGCCCAGATCAACTTAAGCTTCACAGTCATTATTGGGGCTGGAGGTTGAGCAACCTGCCTCACTTAATAAGGAGTTTACTGGACTCTTTTTAACACTGTCTTTCTCCCCTAACAGCACAAGGCAGCAGCAGTACAGTTGTTGGCTCCCCTCCACGCTTGTTAAAAAAACAAGAAACAACTCCTCCCCCTTCGACTGGTTTAATTTTTCTGTCCCTTAACAAGACATTTTCAGTTAGCTTCAATGGAATTACCCCATTAACTAAGACAGGAATGAGGCCTAGGCAGCAAACTAAAATAAAATAAAGTGCTATTCTACTTTTTCCCTTTGTGAGAGACTCCTGTTGATATGAATGAGATAAAACAAATGTTTATGTGTTGTGAGTGAAATAAAGGTAAAACACTGAATTAAATTAATTAAAATTAAACTTGATTTGCCCTAGCTTATGTACCACACAGGAGGTTGTGAACCCTTTAAAAAGGCCTGCTGTGTCTAAGTAGGATCAAGGCTGCCATCAGTGGTGATGTATAGGGGATGAATGGGGGCTACATGCACCCCCTGAGAGCATTGGATCCCCCTGACAGCAGCATTCCCTGCTTAGGTGATGGGTGGGGGGGGCAGGTGAGACCACTGGTACCCCCCTGAAAGCTCTGGCTGGGGAGCAGGGGCACCAGGGGAAGTGATCCCTATGGCCCTCCCCCACAGCTGACTGCACCACCCCAGGGTGGGGTGTTCCCTTGCCACCGATTGCACCAGCTGGAAGTGCCAGCAGCACGATCAGCTTGCCGGGAGAACCCTCCACCCCCTAGTTCCTGAATGGCTGCTGGGTGGGCAAGTGCCCCCCTGACTCAGGAGACACCAGTTGCCCATGGCTACCGTAATAAACAAAGATATATTTTTTTCATGTAACAGCTGCTGCTGGACTTTCAGCAGGGCTAAGGATTCTTGCAAAGGCAGAGTGGGAAAGTTGAGAAAGTTGTTTTGCAAGAGCATATGCATGTTTGTGATTGGCTCCTGAGGCAGGAGAGGGGAGGGAACTGGGGGTGGGGAATGACTCAGCCAGGCTCAGAGAAGGGAAGGAGCTCCAGGACTGCAGAGCTCAGGGGGGAACTACCCTGTAGCTTGCCTGTGATGTACACCTGGCCTTAGTGACGGGGAGAAGACAACCTGGTATCCTTTTTCCCTCTGTGAGGCAGAGGGACCTGACTGTGGTAAGATACCACAGACAGCTGGAGCAGAGGACAGCTTCTCCTACCCATGCAGGCTCAGCACCAGCCATGGTTATTGTGTTGCGGGTATGAAGGAGAGCTGATGTTTATTAAACCTGTGTGCTCCTTCTGAAATTCATTGAAGTCTCAAGGTTTAAGCTGGGGAGTTGTACTGAGGATGTCTTTGATTCATTTTGTATAGAGTGTTTTAGTTCATTGATACCTGCCTTTGACAGTTAGATGTCCTGTTCTTCTATTAACCTCATTCCTATGTTGACTGTTTTGTAAATAATAAACTGTGTAAATCGTTAGCCTGTATGTACTCCAGTGTGTAGGGAAACCACAAGAAAGCACTCCATGGAGAGGTGGCTCCAGGGCTGGGAGGCTGACCGAGACTGTTTGACACCCCAGGACCCTGAATTCGGACGTAGCTGCTGTTGCAAGAAAAATTAAATTTGGTCATGTCAAATTAACCGAATGCCCAGAAGCATTTTTGAGATGATTCATAATTGGTAATGATTGTGGCCTGAAGCTAACCCCAGTAAAATGCTGACTGCACGTTTAGTACAGAACAATAGGACTATACTGTGGTGACCATTAGGACTAATTAAACGTAAGAACAGGAAACATAACAGGAAAATATACCAAGTGTGTAAGGATATGCTATTGTCTAACTTAGAATTTACCAGTTAAAATATTATAATCTGTTAAGCTAGCATTAATGATGACGATGTCACTAAAGAGTTAAATAGCCTGAGCAAGTGAAGTTAGTGTTCACTGTTCATTGTATGGATTTCTAAGGGAAGATCAAGTCTTTGGATGGGAGCAGTGCAACCCAGGAAGCGTTCCCAGGGCAGCCGGCTGCAGGAAGTAACTCCTGCATAACAGCTCTAGACATACTGTGAAGCACTGAAGAGTTACATTGATGTGCTCAGTCTTTGTAACTGTCTGCTTATATTCTGGCAGTCCCAGTAAAGTTGACTACTTGTATTCTGGCAACCTCAGCTGATGAATTGCTTTTTGCATAGTAGGTGTTTTGTAGTCAATAAAGCTTCTTACTGTTTGTTGGATGAGTGCCGGTGGTTAATCACAGAGTTCCCCTTGCCTACAGAGAAGTAGGGCTTGAATGAGTTTCAGCCCAACAGCCACGGGTAGCACTGTAGCTAGGGTTACATTCAGATAAGCATACAAATACTATGTGCACTGTTCGCATATCACTGAATTCTTTCCTTAGGGTACTGGTTCTCAACTGGGGGTCTGTTGCTGCTGCTGCTGCAGCCAGGTGAAACTGCATCTACAGAACCAGATTGGGAAGTGGCTGTGGCTGGGATGCCCACTCTCCCTACAACCCCAAAAGCTCCACCCAGAAACAGACATCCTCTGGATGCCTCCATTTATGGGAGATACCATGTGAGATTGGACCAGGAAGGGCTGTGATGAGACCAGGCACTCCTGCCAGTTGCTTCCTGATCTGGCTCTGCAGGCACAGTTTGATTTGGCTGCAGGAGTGGCAGTGTTTGTGTTGTGGCACCCCTGAAAGGATCTCATGGCACCTCAGGATGCTGTGGCACCCTAGCTGAGAACCACTGCTGTGCGGTCTCAGTTGAGAACCAGGCTCAGGAGAGGAGTGTGCGCGCCTAGGGACACAGAGTTCTATTATCCTAAATTTGACTTAATCTTTTCCAACCTTTTTCTATCCCAGATCTGGCTTATGCCTGCCAATAGCTACTTCTCCCAGTCCCCTTATATGGCACTCCTCAAAGCAGAGCAGGTAATACATGTGGCAGCAACTGCCCTTCGCTTCCTCCTGGCCTCTCTGGCAGTGTGGGACCCAGCAGAGCAGAGGGCATCACACCAGTGCACCCACTGGGAATAGTGGGGGATGCTTCCTCCTGGGACTGTGCTGGGCAGCTCTTCTTGCTGGACTAAACCCTGGCTGGAGCCCCAGGGGTGAGCAGGGCGTTGGTGGGGCATGTGGCCAGTCTGGCTCATGTTGAGAGGACATTAGCTCTCCAAGTCAGGCAGCAATACCCAGGCTTCAACTGGAGAGCTCTTCCCTCAGCTCCAGTGAGAGTAGAGGGGGGACAAGCAGGGGACACTTTACCAGTACTGCCATGAGGGGAAGTA